ACACAAAAACTGTTGAGTAACCCCTGTGCTTCTTCTATGCGCCAACATAGTGAAGAAACAGGACCCGAACTTAACTTATCAAATTTCAGTATTCTTTGCCAGGCCAACACTGATCTGGAATTACTGATTAAAGAAACTCTCCCTTTCAAAAACTTTCACCAACACTGGATAACACGTAGTCTTCTTTAAATTGTACATTTTTTAAATATGTAAAATACTTCTTCTCTTTCTACGTGCTTTAGTTTTGATTAAATTATCGTTATTGCAGCAATGTATTTATGTGTTGATGCAGACATGATGTAATTCTGTTATTTTGCTATAGATACTGAAGATTAAATCTGTAGAGTTCCGAAGCATTTACCTGTGTGTCCTTCTGTTATAAATAAATAATATTGTTTATCTTAAGTATCGTTAACCTTTTTTATTGTGAAAGTTATTATAATTTAATTCACACTTTATCCAGTAGTTACAAAGTGTAGAAGTGACTTCATTCTTTTCTTTTTCTTCTAATTAGTATTTTTTCATCTCTTCATCTTTACAATTTTTCAACCACTTTTTCCGAACTTATATATATATATTTCTCTCCGCTTCTTTGTTTGGCCTTCTGAGCGACAGTTTATGAATATAAAAAGCTAACTGTCCAGGTGAGATACCGCTATGGTTTAAACATAGCATTCTTTAATTTTGAACTGCGGATCAAAGGGAAGACAACTAATTGGCATCACCCGCATCTGAAGCAGCTACTTTTAACTAAGTAGCGGGATTTACTGTCATCCTTATAACGCATTTTAGGTGAAAATGTGCATTGTGTTTAGTGTAGCATCACATATCGAACGAGAGATCCCGAAACTCCAGTCCTATACGCTAACCACTATTACAATTTCTTATATATACCTAGACATATTATTTATTTCATAAAACAAGTTTAATATATTATTTTTAGCAACAAAAAATATAATTCAATCCGATGTGTATGCTAAACTAAGATAGTGTAATATAGTGACCAACATTTTACCACCTTCCTTATTAAATGGGGAGTTTAATCTGCTAATTCCCTGTGGCAGAAAAAGCTGATGCAATATTAGGCAGTGGAAACTATAAATTTTTTCAATATATGGTGCAGCTTGTATTTGTATTTCATTGTGTATATATACACAGATTGTTGTTGTTGTTTTTTACCAAACTTTGATATTTTATTAACCTATAACTCTGGGCTTTTCGTGTCTTTCCATTCATACAAAACACGTGTTCTTCAACTGCCCATTTAGATCATGGATTTCGGCTAATGGAAATGTTGGTCAGCCAGCTAGATATTACAGTAGCAACTCAATGAGAATGAAGTATAACCACTCAGTATAAGACCTATATTTGTTCTTCACATGTAAACTTTAACGATCTTTTCATTTATTATGTGAATCAGTAATCTTATCAACATAAAGCAGAATTTAACATAACTGAATATACTACTCACATGCAGGTTTGACTGTTTTTTCACATAGCGAGAAAAAATTTGACTGATGTTGAGACCTGATTTTTAATGTGCAAACAATCTCAACTCTGATGTTGAAAGAAGCCAGTTTTGAAGCAATCATTTCCTTTCGGCAGACTGTATCCCAATCAAACTGGGCGCTTTAAGTTGCTGATTGGTTCGCAGTAATAATTCTAACTGCTTAATTGAATAATTACTTTTTTAAACTTAAAACTGGTATGTCGAAATCATAGAAAAATATTAAAGATAGTGGGAAAATACTCTTACACCTATACTGGCACGTTTATTAATCTATGAATTTATATTTCATAATGTAAATGCTGGTTTATGCAACCTACAAATCTTCTGCTTTGAAAATGAGTTTTCAAATGTATTTTGAAATGTTAGACAGTCAAACTCGTGATCGCTTTTTGTTTGCATGGCCATGCTCCCTCCACAAAGTTGACTTGATTTTGGGATCTTATTTGAACTTTTTGTCTCTCGCCACCCCTTCAGCTCCTTTAGAATATAACGTAAATAAGAAATGATTCTTGTTTTGAGGTATTTTCTCTGTATGCAAGTCCTAACTGCTCCTCTATTCATTACAGCAGTTTGAAAAGTACCGCCTATTTTTTATTGATCTTAATCTTTCCAGGTTAGCATAAATCATTCACACTTGCCTGAAAATTCTCAGTTTCTTATAACTCATCATGGACAGCTTCTTCATTTCTTGGTCGTCAAGAAGGGAATTTGCCCAATACGGCAATAAAAGAATCAGAAATATGATTTAGCAAGGGTGCATTGAGATATAATAATTAGCTTACTTGGTGTATATTAAAATTAACAATTATCTCCACTGAGAAAGAAGTAATTTCAGCTAAAAATTACTACTTCTCAGTTGTTTACTTCCCTAAAGTTGTACTACTATTATTACGTATTTTAACGAACTATGTTTATTCTATCAATATTACTGAAATATGCTTACCAATACCAGGAATTTTAAGGAAATCATAAAAGCTAAAAAAAAAAAAAAAAATAAGCAAATTAGTCATTCTGAAAAATTATTAAAGAACCAGTTCCCGAAAAAAAGCAATACTAATTTATTAACCACCTGACCGTAAGAATGAAAAAGTATATAAAGTAAGTTCTTCAGAATTATATGTATATTGTAAGACAAAAATATAAATGTTCAATATTTATCCCAAATATAACTTTGTGAATGAGTACACAATATAATTCTGCTTTCATGGATAAAAATTCCCAAGTCTCACTTCTAGGAAAGGCGTGTTAATAAATTATATGATGCGATTTTTTGCTTTATTTAAAGATATTCTCATACTGCGTTAAACATTTATGAAACTAACAAATCAAACCAGGACTGCCTGGGTTAAAAATTACTATGCTGTTAAACAGATACAAATAATTAATATCAACAGTTAAATTTGGTTAGTTTTTTTGTTGTTGTTGTTGTTGTTATTTTAAATTTTAAGAATTTTCGTGTAAATCTACCTTTTGCTAACTGCGCAAAAAATCTACCCCAATTATGAACTGATAGATTAGAAAGAAGGCACGTTGTTTAGCTGACCGAATAGATCTGAGTAGTAACCAGGACAGGTGAATTATAGTAACTTCCTTTAGAGATTAGATTAAGAATGAACATCTTCTATAACAGATCTTGAGATACCTTGTACTCTGTATAAATTCTTCAAACTTTAGAGTCCCAATGTTTCTTTGCTGAAATATATCTCCTGTAGACTGTAGGACAAGTAACGTAAGGTATCATAACTACGTTACAATCACTATCAGCGCAAGAAAAAATTACAGACTTATTTAAACAACATAAACTTTACATAATATAGCCGTTCAGTAATGAAGTGGTGCTTAGCCAGAACTTGGTAAAGAAATAATTTAATGTTCAAATGTAATTTAAATATAAAAAATAGCGTTGTTAATAATAACACACGCGGCATAACGATAGTAATAATATCAAATCAGGAAGCAAAACTGAAGTATACTCACCTGAACTAAATTAACGTTGGAGCTTCACCAGATAAGTCAGCTAAACAGGACCTATACGAACTACAGAGTTAATGCTACACAGAACAAATATATTGGGCAAAGTATTACATATAATAATTATTTTGTGTAAAGCTAAAATGCAATGTGTGAACCTGCAGTTTGTCTCGACTGACATTTGCCAGATATTCTCGGCTTCAAAGTTACCTTTCAGGTTTACTAATGTCAGGTCTCTTAGGTTTGAAGAAACCTCGTTTTTACCAAGCATGACATTTGCTACTACATGACCAGTTATTCTCATTACACATAGGTCAGGCTGTAGCCTCTAGACCTGCACAACTATTGAAGGAAACTGCTATCGACTTCATTGTACAAGGTCGCTTTAAATAATGTTCACCACGGGAAGTAATAGATATTGCAAACTTCGAAAATGAAAATGGCAATTTAAAATATTCTGCACATATTCAGAATGAAGATATAATTTATAATAAATAGTATAATATTAGAAGAAGACAGAAACCCGTGGTATATTCCTTTACCTTACCAGAATAATAAAAACCTCGAGTAGCATCTTTCAACAAATCAATGTGGCACAGTTTCACGTGTTAAAACATCTTTCTTTCTCGCCTCTTCTTAGTATAACTTCAAGTTTTAACTTCTTAATGGTTTTTATTGTTTTGCCAGACCCTAGATTAAATGTCACGTAAATAACAACTTATGATTTGTTTTACATAATCAGACATGAACATAGTATCCATACTTCACCGCAGGGATAATCTTCTACATTGGTGTTTTAATTTAAACACAATTACAAACTTTAAAATAAAATAAAAACTGCTACAACAGTTGTTAAGATATATGGAGTTGTTGCGTCAGCGAGATCACGTGACTATTCTCACGCCCTCTGCTTTCTAGAACTATCCTGTACCTTGGCGAATGCTCTAGCATTTACTAGATATCCACTTCATATGTTCGGCCTCTAATTTATATAAAATATCACCACGTAATATGGAGATTAATAAATACATATAGCGTGTAATCTGTGCTTTCCGAAATGTTGCACAGGGAGATTATAAATAAAACTCTGTTACGTCTCCGTTTGTTAACAAACTTTCCGTAACTTCGTTCCGACGAAACTTTAGCGACACAAGTCCTTACTTAATAAAACTGGTTTATTCTTTCCGAATATAACTTTACGATACACTTAATTTCAACAATCGCGCTAAAACAAACGCTATAACAGCGAACGTGCTCAACTTCAATAATACTCTCTTGACTGCAGATCAATTACTCACTGTCTACACACACATTAATTTGTCACGTTGTCACCCTCTTTTATATACCAGACTACCCTATTCAACGAAAATTTAACAAAAACAGATTAAATTGTTTGTAAGTTGTATTTTTGTAGTTTTTATATATTTTCTATACGAAAATTTAATTCTAATTTTCTATATTCAATAACAATAAAATCTCTATCGACGCCTAGTGTAAGTTCCTAGTACAATAACAACAGTAAAATCTCTATTGAAACCTAGTGTAACTTCTGGTAAACTTGACATACCACCACTCATTTGAAGGAACAAAATAATATGAAAAATTTGTTTTAAGACTTATTGTGTGAGAGGAGGTTTACTTGAAAATGAAGTAAATGTGACATGGTTTAACTTCAGTCGTGTCCAGATAAGTTATACATGCTGTTGTTTGGGTATGGGATTTAGACTTAAAAGTTATGGCCTTCCAGTGCCACTGACAACTAGTTTATGTTTAGCAGTAATTTAAAGTTCAAGTTAAAAAAGTATTTGTAAAGTTATTCAAAAAACATTTTTATAATAATTGTCAATGTTAACATAAGATAAAATTAAAATCGAAAAACAAATGGCCAAAACTTTTGCTTTGCTGATGTAATGGTATTTATTCAAATTATTGTTATTGGGATGCTGTTAATGTTAAACAACATACATAATTTGACAAGTGAAAACTATTATATAATGAAAATAACTGAAACTTCGTTAAATTTGTAGAGCATTCATGATAGGAGTTACTTTAAAAAGGCCAGGTTGTAAGTTATTTAATAGTGATACTGATAGGCTTTTTAAAACTTAGATGATGGGTTGATTGTTTATTATAGTATAAGGGATGTACTGCACCCTCTTAAGTTGGAAGAGTTATTTTACAAGAATAGGTTGAGATCTCTCAACTTGTTTTTTTTTTTAAGAGAAGAGTAAGTGGTAATCATGAAGATTACAGTACCATCCAAGGGATGGATAGGATAAAGATGACACATATTTATGGTGTGTAAAAGACAAACTAAGTTCCAGTTATTTTAGTTTTATTTTTCTAATGGTGACTAAGTTATGGAATAAGTTACTTGGCAGTATTGGAGATCAACACTTTAAAGGAGTTTAAGAGGGGAATTGGTGATTTCCCGAAAAATATAGGTTGGTTTAAATGTTTTTCTTTTTTCTTTAAGGTGAGTGTGCAAAAGAGCTTTGAAGGTCCAAATGGTCCATTAATGCCTATAGGTTATATTATAAAGCTGTTCAAAGTGATATAATAGTGAGTTTAAGTTTAATCAAGGTTTTTAAAGTAATATGAGTACTTTTTATAACATTTGTGTGTTTGATTGTATGTCTACAATGTATCTGCAATAGTTTGATTATAATTCTAGCCAAAAAAAGAAGACAGAGATGGTTTTGTATGTTGTTTTTTTGTTTTTTTTTGCAGAATTCATTTAATGTTTGTATTTAGTTGTAGTTTTAAGACATGTGGCCAAGGTCAGTAACATTTTTCATTTAATTTTACCATCAATTGGCTCTACTTTGATAATTTTATGGTCTTGAAATTGATTATTCAATCCGTCAAAATGTTGTCATTCAAATCCTTCAAGCATTATATATTTAATCTATCTACTCCTCCCCTCGTATACACATAGAGAAATGAAATCTTTTGAGAATTATCAAATAGATCTCATATCAGTGAGGGTTATAATTTTTTATATCAGCATTAAGTCAGTAATGATTATAATCAACTGTACAAGTAGTGCAGTGATTTACGTCTCCACTCTACTTCTAGAAGTTGTAGGGTTAGATTATAATATCCATTTTTGGCCTAGGTCCATTTTCAAGGAACAGCCTTAGTTAGGTTGTCTTCTTGTAGTAGATTATTTTTACACTAGCTGAACAACCTGTCCCTTGGACA